ATCTCATTTTCATGCGGCTTTGATCGCCACTACTCATGAAAATCAACTTTTTAACAAGTGATAGAGATAATTTATTGAAAGTCACACAAAGTTTTGGGCGGCTTGTGATGTATTCAAATCCCTGAGATCGGTTTTACGTCAGAAGCATATCTTTGATCTCGTGGACGGGTGAACTCAAGCATCACTAATTTTACAGAATAGAACACGTAGCGTAAAACGAGAGGCATATACTGTATCTCTGTTACTATCCAGAGTTTTATTCAAAGCCTTACCCGACATTGATCGAGAAATGCACAGTCATTCGAGATTGAGTAAGGCTAGGAAAACTTTTCTTCTCAAAAAACATTTTATAAGCGGAAATTCTGTCACTCTTGAAATAGAGAGGCCCTTTGTTTCTCCTTTCCAAGAAATTGATCGTAACATTAAACATACAAATTAAATTTCCGAGAAAGCTTTACAGTTCGGGTCATTATCTATTTTTATTTCCAGTTAAATGTCCGCATCTGTCTGTTGTTCAATGAAAGTTATAATTTTGTCGGAAAATCAGGTCTGCCCTATCGCGTAAAGTCCCTCTGGTGCATGGAATGGAAAGGCCATAATTTCCTTTTCTTAAAGACAAATGATTGACTTGCAATGGCCCGGTGTCTCTTGACCTTCAATTTTCGACAGCAAGGGCCTCATCCATGTGCACACATCCGTCATGCTAAATTTCGCTCGTATACATTACATACCAGCAAGATTTCATTGGCTAAACTAGATCTTAGCCCAAGGGGTTGCCATGGACGCTAGATTTATGCAGATGCTAATTTAGTCTTAACCAGAGAAGTAATAATTAACTCGATGTTTCCTGCAGACAGCATGCTCAAAATAAATTTCCATCGCGAAACAGCCGCGCAATAGGAGGGCAACTCATGAAGCTTCCGCTTTCTCAACTAGAGGCATTTACTTTAAACCACCCATCAGGCTGGACTTAGTTCTGAAGCGTCTTAAGCAGTGACTTGTTTTACTTGGATAAAGGTTTGTCTGCAACTTTGTGACTTTTTGATTTGTGTTATCTCTTCTGCACGAAGGTTTGTAAAATAGATTAAAACCGTGCAGCTATCAGTCATAGTTAAGTAATTTACTGTTAGCACGTGCTCTCTTCAGTGTCTAACATAACATCATGATGTCGCTTTTAAAATTCTCTATTCTTCCTATGTCTCTGTCTCTGGCGTCGAAGGAAAGTTTCCCTCGTCTGCTAATTCTTGGTGAACTTGTTTATTTCTTAGTTCATGTCCTTTTACAGGCCGTGCCTTTGTGTTTAGTCCGCTTTCGTCTTCGTATCTTCGCTTTCGGTCCGCTGCTCTCACAAATTTAGTCACATTTTATTTTCTTCCTGCCGGTCTATAAGTCAGCGTATAACTGCAAATGTAGCTAAAGTGAAGTGTTAAGCGAAGAAATTTGTCTGATCCGATGTTTTCATGCTTTGGGTTAAAAATACAGAGTATTGTTTGCAGAGCGGTACCGTGGAGCTGCACATTACATTTCAATCAGTTCTACTCTTTCATCCGTTGAAACCTTCATAAGGCAATATTCTATCAAAATAATAAACTGCGTTATATCGCTAATGTTGGTAACTTCCAGACAAGGAAGGAATCGTGAGCATGCTGATAAAAAATGAGTTTATTTAATAATTGTTCTTTTTGATAACCTAATCAACAATTAAATAGAAGAAGTTCACTTGTGAAAATTATCCGTGAGTTTATTTGATCGAAACCTCGCGTGATCTAGATGAAATTCGTTTTTACTTTTGTTGACATTTATGTGTATGACAGCATTATGTTATGGTAATTTCAAGGGTTGAATCTAGCGTATCTTTCCTTTTCGAAACTGTGATCGGATTTCCATAATTCGTGAGTTTGTACATAGAATCATTTAGGCAATCATTGATAAATACCTTGTCGCCCGGCTTCCAAATCGATCATGTGACATTTTGACATTTGAGAAAATAAGCGGTGCAATTCAAATTTTTATTCTAAAACCCTGAAGTTGAGCCTGCCTTATCGTTTTATGAGATTTTTGATCGAGAAATACTCATTCATACAAGACATTTGAGAACAAAGAATCTTTGAAAGTCAAAACACCTCATTGCTCCTTAAATCATGCATATCCTTTGATAACCATTTCGGAGAAATCGATTGAGTTATTCTAAGAAAGCTTTCGTCATTTATTGTATTTTTTCCTGAAGATCAAGTTTCCTCGTTTGAATATCATCTTCAAAAATGCTCTTTTAATTATAGTAAAGAAGATTTCGTCGGGGAAATATCTCTCAACATGGAAATGAAGTAATATTTTGTGATACAAATTAAGGAAATATGAAGTGCAATTCTCTCCTTGGACATACGAGATAAGATTATTCTCTAAGACATATGAATAAAGGGGTAAGTTTCTAAAGAAACTGCGATTCGCTCTGACGAAGGGCTAACGCTCGAAACGTCAGCTTTTTTATCCTTTACGGTGGCTAATTTACGTTTTCAACCCAGTTGTTAACACTAAATTACCTACTCTCTAAGACATATCCTTGTTTATTATTGAGTGGTTTCCGGAGAAATTGATCGAGGTATTCCAAGAAGGCTTACGACATATCTATTTTTCCTGAACTGAATTTTTCTTGTTTGAATATTATGTGCGAAAAATGTTCTTATTGTAAAGAAGATTTAATGAGGGAAAAATTTTTTTTGATGAAATATGAAGTGCAATTCGTATTGTGGAAGAGGTTAGCTGCTCCCCTCTCCATCCATTTGAATTTACGCATATTTTGCTGCTAATTTTTATCGCACTGGCTCTTGAACACAGCAATTTTTATTCAAGGCATTTCATCGAAGATAGAAAATCATTGGAAAGTAGTTATGTTTTTTTTTCTGAAATGGTTCCGCCTTGAGATTTTTGATGTTTCTGCCTTGCATTCTTAATGTTTGTAAAACCGTCTCAAAAACACGCCGACGCGGCTGTGAAACACTTGACCGCGCACAGTAGGGTAATCCACCCTCTTTCATGCATTTTTCGATTCCACCACCCGAGGTTTTTCTTAGTAACCATTCTTTCAATTAGCTGGTCTTGATTTTTAATTGTTTCACTCTGTGACCGCTCCATCTACTTGATGAGGTGACGCTTTTTTGCGAAACTTCGTACATTACCTTCTGTAGGCAGGTCTGGATAAGAACTTGTGGCTATTAGTTCAGTTAACTAAGTGACTTGCATGCAAAGAACGATTAGAAACGGAACTGATATGAAGCTGATCCGTTTTGTAGCAATTAACATGTAGAGGGAATCCGCCTTTACCTGCGCAAACCTTACGTGATCGGTGGACAGGGATGTGTATGACAGCATTATGTACACGCTTATTTTACAATTAGATATCCAATAAGAACTTGAACTATGATTAACTTCCTTTGTATAACCATGCTGTTTAAAACTGTAATCAAAGTGATTAGTCCTCTATTGTCTGGTGTA